GTTCCAGGGTCTCTGTGCACCATCCAGCTCCAGCCCCAGCCTCCAGGAGGGGGGCACTGCCCCTTGCTTGCTCTCTCACTTCACACCATCAGTGGGGCTGGCAAACACACTCCTCTTCTTGTCCCTGTCTCTTCCTCCTCACCATCAGCCTAATTGGCACAGTGGGTGGTACCCCCTGCAGTAGCTCCTCCAGCTGTGCCATCCTTCACCCTCCTGGGGCTTCAGCATTCTGGGGCTCTACTGGGGGTTGGATGGCAGCTCTTGAGCCCTGAGCTGGCCTTGGGGAGGCAGTTCTGAGGAGTCAGTTATTTGCTGTCATGTGTTAGACTCAGCTGGGTTATGGGACTTGTCACGGCATAGTGCACACGGGATCAGGGACTCTGATCCCCTGTCATTTGGTTGCCTATTTTGGTGGCGGACAGAGAATATGTCCTGGCAGTTGGCCAAGGTGGGCCCTGGCCTTAAGAAAGCCAAAGAAGAGTGTAGTTTCATTTACCACTTAGAGGGGGTAAATACGTCTCATGGACAGAACACAGACTCGAGCCAGGCTGCCTGGATTTGAATTGTGTGGTCTTGGGCAGGTGATGCAGTCTCTCTGTGCCTCCACTTTTGTACTCTAAAGGGGGTAGTCATGTTAGCTCCCTCATAGGATTCTTAGGAGGATTGCATGAGACATGAGTTCAGTGGGTGTTAAAACACCTTGAGATCCTGTCTGGGAGATCAGAAGGGTTACACAGTGGTTATCAAGTAGTGTATCATATACAGAGGTTGAGGAATATCATTTGTGCAGGTGGCAGTGCTGAGAGACTTAGCTAGCAAAGGTGCTTGTCATGAAGTACAGACAAAAGAAATCTTATCGTGTGCATAAATGGAGCTTGCCTCCCAAATCATGAGAGATGCATTTGTTAACTGCTTTTTTGTACAATGAACATGAGTGTAACATTGTAAAGAGAGAGATGTTAAAGATAACTTGGTGTTTTTAACCAGGAAAGATGGAGGGAGTTGTCTTCATCTGGGTGGGAATCCCTTTAGGGGAGGGAGGGTAGTTCAGTGTTGCATTTGCTAAGCTGGAGAGGCCTGCTAAACAATGAGTCCATCAGTGGACTCAGAAGAGAGGTGAGGGCTAGAAGGAGGGTTTCCTAGTTACTGACATCATAAAGGAAAGAAAAGTAGATCGGGACCAAAAAGGGACTTAGAGCTAAACCAGGGAACATTCCATCTCCTGTGGAAAAGTCAAGCCAAGTCTAGTTTTCTAGTTTATTCTTTTCTTTGTTTGGCTAGTGTAAAAGGAAGGGTAGACCTGTTTGGTGCTGCCTTCCCTTTGGCTCATTTGTCATTTGAGCTCTATAAGGCTTGGACTTGAGAAGCAGCAACGACTAGGTTCTTCTTAGCTTGTGCCCTTGGGGAAGCTACTTATTCTCTGAGACTCAGTTTCCTTATCTTGAGGTGGGAACTGGTGGTAAAAATGCCCATCCTAATTTTAAGGGCTCACTGAATGCAGTTATATTAATGCTCCAAAGTTGTTAATCACTTTATCACTGTTAAATTCTCACTGTTCATGCCAAAATGTTAGAAGTGAGAAGCCGTGACAGCTCATACATTTTTTAAAGCCCTTTGAATTTTCCCTTAACTGAAAACCACATCTCCATTTAACCCCTCAACTACTTTCCCCTGCCCCCATTTCCTTTTATTAAAAATACAAGAGGTCAAAAGAGAGGGTGCAGTAAACTCTACACACGTCACCCACTTATGCTTCCCCTGTCACTGAAACACTGCATCCAAAGACGAAGTCTGGTCTGTGTGTGGCAATTGGCGCATGAATCACAGATGCAGACACTTTCGGAGACCTAAAGACTAAACCATAGGAAACACGGATGTCTCAGGCAGCGACAGTGCTGCGGTATTTTCTACACTGACCTTATATGTGTTCTTTACCACTGAGACAGGTGAAGGAAGGAAGGTGTGAGAAGGTTCTCTGTTCAAATAGACTAGCTGATCCTCAATTACTATTTAAAAGCTAGTTTTCTACATGGTTGAAAAATGCATCTAAGACACTTGATGTTAGCAGCAGATAATATGATTCTGAATCTTATTTTAAAAGTCTCATTCTCCCATCCAAGTACTAACCAGGCCCGACCCTGCTTAGCTTCCGAGATCAGACGAGATTGGGAGCATTCAGGGTGGTATGGCCGTAGACTACAAAGTCTCGTTCTCAAAGCTCAATAAGAAACCAGAAATGCAGAGAACCAAATTCTGAAGAGTTGCCTCTCCATTCTCAGTTAGTGTGTCTGCTGTGTGTGCATTTGTGGTTTTTGTGCTTTGAATTTGTGGCTTTTCTGTTTTGCAAGAGTAACTGTCAATGACTTCTACCAAAAGAAATACTACTGTTAGTGGTGGCAGGACCAAATCTATGTAACAGTGTGGTTGGTTTTTAAACCCCTACTAGAATTTTTGAGAAGACTCCAGATGGAGGTGGGTGGTGTGAAGACTGAAAGAAAACATTAGAAATACCAAAGCAGAAAAATTAATAGGAAAGAACTTCCAGTAATTACATTTTTCTTTCTGGCCTTTCAGGTGGAGAAAGTAAAGAGAATAAGCACAGGTTGTGGGAATTTTCCATTAAGTTGGAAAAAACAATACGATAAATAATCCATAGCCATGAGGGACTCACAAGGTCAAAGCATCCTCCTGTCCCATTTGTCTGTAGTGACAGCCCTGCCCCCCTAAAAGGAATGCCTTACCCTTAAACAATAGATGTGTCCCTGGGAAACTAAGGGAGCATTTACAGGAAAGTGATTTTTATAAATGAAATCATTTCAGGAGTATACCATCGGTTAGACTTTTCTATATTTTGAAAGTATTATTAGTGAGAGTGTTCTTTATAATGAAAATGTATCTATATATTAGAAAAAATAAATTTAAAAGAAGGAAGTACACTGAGAGTTTGGAGATGAGTGGATTGTCACCACTTAAAAGTGCTGAGTTGCATGCATCTTATAACCTGAGGATTATTTTGCCCCAGTGGTGACACTTGTGAACATATCTGCTCTCTGAATTGGCAAGCTATTAAAGGGCTCAGGTGCCAGTGGTGCAGGTCACCTATCAAAGCCCAAGGTCCTGCTCTTCCTAGGTAGAGCCAGCCCTCAGCACTCCCCCACTGTGCTGTGCCCACCCAGTGTGTCCCCAGGCCTCGCTGCTGTCCCTGGCAGTTGGAGACACCCACGGGCCCCTGCTTTCAGTCAGCAGCTGCAGACTCAGGCTGTTGCTTGTTTGTGAGGGGCCTGCTTCTCGAGGATAGCTTGTCACTATCAGTCCAGGCCCCCGGCAGCTGCTGCCCAGAGGACCCACTTCATCGGCCTAAGTGTCAGTGCTTGGCTGGGTTGTTTTAGTTTTATGCCTCTGTGTGTTTTGTTGGGGGAAGAGGGAGGGGAGGGATTCGTAGAAAAGGGAAGGCGATATCCTCTGCATTACTGAAAACGGAAGTAAGGAATTATCAGTTCAGGGTCAGTAGAAACCACAGGGCCTGGCTTCCTTTTGCTGTGCTCCTCTGGAATGATTTTGTTTTGTTTTGAAAGCCCTGAAAATGATGTGAGCTGGATCAGTTGTCCTTGGGTGGAGAGGGAATCTGGGGAGCCTTCTGGGATTTGTGGATAGATGTTGGGTCTGGCATCTGTGAAGCCCCTAAAATGTATATAATGTTGCACTGTATTTTCCCAGAAATGAGGGTCTCTGGCTTAAATTATATCTCAGAGAGATCCAGAGATCCATACTGTTTTTTAAAAAGGATTAAAAACCAGTTCTACAGGAGACCGGGAAGTTTGAGTTGTGTATCTTGGCTTTGGCCCTAACGGGAGAGCTCTTCCTGATGGATAAAATGTGTATGATGTGCAAGTATTGAAATAAGTGTGTAAAACACCTTAGGTTCAGACCTCCCTGGTGGTGCAAGGGGTTAAGTCTCAGCACTATGAATCCATCAGCAGCCACTGCAGCATGAGTTTGATCCCCAGCCAGGGAGCTGACCCACATGGTGCAGCAGACCTCTCCTGTCTCACCCAGTGACACCCTCAGCAGTGTATTTCACTCAGTCTACCTGTTCTGCTCCCCACCCTGTCACTGGTGAATCCTCTCACCCCCTGCACCTCTGGCCTATGCCCCAGGTCTTGTATGCATAAATAAAAAGTTCTTCAAAAAGAAAAACAAAACCTAAGTTCATGCAGAGAAGCAAATGCTGCAGAATGGTGAGGAAGGTTTCATTTCTTTGAGTGCTAGAAAGCTGAAAGCCCAGAAACCTCTACTGTCTGTGTCTGTCTGTCTCTCTCTTTCTTTCTCTCATTCTGTCACTCTGTCTCTTACACATCCTTGAGCCTATGAAAAGATCCTTTACCTGCCTGTTACCTGAAGACTTCAGTACTTGGAATGAGCACAAAGAACTCTGATCTTCTGGCTCTCAGAGAACCAGTTGCCTTTCCCTGCAATGGAAGGTTGAATTTGCCCCAGACCTCCACATTGATGACAAGACATTTATAATGAACTCAAAAGTGGCTCTTTGTCCTGTGCCCAACCTGTAAATGTTCATTCCAGGGTCCCACCATGGGTTCTTGTTTCTTCTCATATGTTCTTTCTGGTGACCTAATCCAAAACCCTGGCTTCAGTGACCTTTCAACTGAATTATCAACACTCTCTTTTCTTCTGAACTCTTGACCTTTCTATTTAACATCTCCTGTGTTTGTCCCACAGGCCCATCAAACTCACTGGATCCAAGGCAGAACTCATCACATCCCTGCCACCTCTCAAATATTCTTCATCTTGAAGTCATTGTCTTAGAGTCTGGCACAAATAATATACCTGGTTTTCCAAAGATCTTTTTCTGATCCTTTGCAATCTACATGAGCCTTAAGAGACTTTATCCCTATGTCTTCATGATCTTACATTTAAATAGCCCATGGAAAATATACCTTCTCTTTACCCCTCATATCTTAATGAGGACTATAATTACTCACTGGTCTTCCCACCTTCCAGACTGTCTTCTTCAGTGCTTCCAGAATTATCTTTCTACAATATAATTGAATCAGGTTATTTCCTCACTTACCATTATCTAATTGAACTCCATAGTTTTCTGACAAAGCCCGACCTTGGCATGTCCTCCAGGCCCCATCTAACTCAACTCCTAATTACTCTGGTCTCCTGCTCTACTCTTCTGGCTCATTCTTCAGTCAAGCTGAGCTACCACAATATGCTTTCATTCACCTCCTAGATTTTGTATGGATATATTACATTTTACTACAGCTGTTTGGAGTCAGGGCCTTTTAAAAAGTGATTATAATTTGAGGGTATAAGTCATGTATAAAACAGACCTCCACACTTTAGCTCTGATCTCTTTAGCCTTGCTTTTTGCCCAGTTTCTAACATTAACCCTAATCTCAGGCCATTCCTGAACTTGAACCTCATTTCTTAACCTTGTCTTCCCCTCATATTATGCCTTACTGCTATTTCCAGTGCTCTATGACCCCATCTCTGATGCATTCTCAGAGGTTGCGGTCAGTGAGGAGTGATGTTCAGGAATGGGATTAGTTAGAAGAGAGGTCTGGGGATGGATGTAAGAGTCAGGGATCTCTGTTGTGCACATACTTTTTGTAACAACAGTAGTTTTGCATGTTGACACAGCCATTTAAACATGACTAAGTCAAACAGCACCCTCTAATTAACCATGTTGTATTGTCCTGCTTTGTTCTTAGAGCATGCTGTACTGCGGTTTACAGTGTCCTTTTCCACTACCCTCAACTAATTTCTATTTATTCTTCCAGCCCTTTCTAGATATCACCTTCCTTAATTATTCTCCACTACCCCCCAAGATAGCTGGGTGCCACCCTTCCATAAGCTCCTGGTGCTACTGGGTTCTTGTGGGTTTGACCTGCCAGCCTGTATTCTGTTGTTTATTGCCTTTCTTCCTCCCCAAGGTAGGATCTGTATGTTGGTTCTCTCTTTATCCCCAGAATTTCACTAGAAACACCTAGCAATAGATGTTCAATAGATGTTTAGTAAGTAAATGAAGACCTGAATACATGAACAGGTGATATCCTGCGACAGAATTCTAGCAAACCGCAGAAGCTTAATGAACACAAATAAGAGAGTCCAGAAAGACCTATTATATCATCTCATCTGTTTTCTGCCTATGAGGGATTGCACACCTCCATTGACTCAAGGCATGACCTTCCTGTGTTGGCCCTCTCTTAGGCACCACCTTGGGTTCTCTTAACCCCACCTGTTTCTGGGTTGCCATGGTGACCTGCTTTGCCAGGCTCTACCATCCTGTCACCTAATACCACTACTGGGATTTCTCAGTTGCCTCATCTGGAAAATAGGCATTAGCAATAGCACCTTAGGTCATAGCACCTTAGGATCTGTTGTAAAAGACTGGATGAAATAATGTGTCTAAGGTCCTCAGCTTAGAACTTTCAAAATAAGTTCTGGAAGATACTTGCTATAGCTATCATTCTATTTTTAAAGTACAGTTTGAGAATGAGAGCGTGCTATTTCTTATGGGAGTAATACTGTGTTTTAACATTATATACATTTCAGGTGTGCATCATTGAAAATTGACAAGTGTGTGTATGTATATACTACCTGAAGTTCTCCACTAAAAATTCAGTTCTATCCTTCATCATACAGGTGTCTCCTTTGTCCTGGTTTACCCATTCTCCCATTCCCTCCAGTAACATCTAATTGCTCTTTCAGCCCGGTGATATTTATTTAAAAAAATGATTACAATTGGAGGGTATTTATTTTTGGTTTATTTAGTTCATCTGTTTGTCTAATTGTTTTCTCTGTATTCCACATGAGTTGAAATCATATGGTGTTTGTCTTTCTCTGACTTACTTCACTTAGCATAATACCCTCTAGGCCCATCTATGTTATTGTAAATGGCTGGATTTCATCTTTTCTATAGTTGAATAGTATTCCATTGTGTGTATATACCTTATCTTTTTTTATTTATTTGTCAGTCACTGGGCACTTGGGTTGTTTGAGTATTTGGTCTTTGTAAATACTGCTGCAGTGGGCATAGGGGTGCTGTTCAAAATCATATTTTTGTATCTTTTGATTAAGTACCTAGAAGTAGCATAACTGGAGTATATGGAATTTCTATTTTTAATTTTTTGAGGGATTTCTATAAAGCTTTCTATGATGGCAGCATCAATTTACTTTCCCACCAAGAATGTATAAGGGTTCCCTTCTCTCTATATCCTCTCCTGCACTTACTTCTTCCTCTTTGGATAACAGCCATAAGAATGATAGAGTTGACAGAAAACAAATTGAAAATGAGATTTTTTAGTCTTAGATATTTTATTGGATTTTTAATAGGTGTGGTCTTGATATATCTCTGGCCCAATTTTACTCTTGCTAAACATGTGGGAAGTCATGATAAAATTCTCCATGAAAGAAGCATTTACCTGCTAGGGTTTGTTTTTGTTTATTTTTTCTTTTTTTTGAGTATGTGTGAAAAACACATAGGGTTTGAGACTAGTTAAATCTACTTCCCATCTTCCAGATATTTTTAGGTTCTGAAAAGAAATTTTTATCAACCTCATCATAAATTTGTGAAAACAAAAGCAGAAAGGTCTTGCAATTTAACTATGGTTATTTAGGGAATTTGGCACAGAGGAGATTCCAGGAAATAGCCAATTGCTCCTCACAGAGGTGAGTTTCAGTTCGTGCCAGGTGAATGGAAAAGTATAATCAGGATTAACATGAGGTGTGCTGGTCATTTTCTGGTTCTTTTACAAAGTTGCATTAGCATTCATAAAACTTTAAACTGAATCATGGTTTATAACTAATTCCTTGTAGTCAGCTTTCCAGTATAGCTGCTTTACTCTGGTTCGCAAATGCTAGTTGCTTTCCTTCTTCGTACCTACCCACGAGCTTTGGGTATACTGTGAGAAAGGACATGGACATCCCTCAAGAACCTAGCACTCCAGTTAACTCTTCTGAGGGTCAGCAGCGATCATCCAGGACCTCCATAATGTCTGCACAGCTTTTACACTAGAGGAACCTTCTTTCTTGAAAATTCTCTTTCACCTTCATGACCCATTCTTGAAGCCTCTGATTTTTCTCTGTTCTTATGATTTTCTCTACCCTTTTTCTTTCCCATACTCCCTGCCCCTCTGCACCCCCTGTATGTAGGCATGCTGCAAGAGATAACCATCTTCTTCTGTCTACTTTACCTATTAGGATTTGATACCCTCTATTGGAAACTTATTTATTCCCTAGGCTTCACATATCTTTTTCTGCAGGACTCTAAAATCTAACTTTTGTCCCTGATTTTTCTCTTAGCCCTAAAACTGCATTTCTACATCCACCTTCTTGTTTCACAATCCTTGAATCTCAATAGATCCCAAATTAAAACTCATTTTCCACCCCCACTCCCAATTAATTCCATGCACCTAATTTCCTTAGATATTTAAGGGACCTCATCTGCCCTCAGCTCAGCTACCTTCTCCCAGTCAGCCAGGCTGAATTTCTGTTTACAATTATTGATTCTTTCATTTTGTCAAAGGATGGGTAAGCCCAAGGATGCCTATGTATATCTACAGGTGTTTACTATCCTTTTTCCCAGTGGAGGTTTTTTCCAGAACATTGGACATTTTCCTGCTTTTTCTAAGGAGTGGGTGGGGGTTGGGGGTGAGCCCTGTGCTGTGGCAGGGCTGTGGATTGATGGTTCAGTTCAGGAACAGCATTCAGATGAGGGGACACTCTTCAGTTGCGTTGGAGATGGTGCCTCCCAGGAGTGTGCATCTCGGTACAGTGGGGTAGGGTGGGGCTGAGGGCTTTGGGGAAGCCAGGCTGCTGAACACTGGTGGCAGGGAAAGAGTTGAGGGGAGCTGGCAATCAACCCAGGAAGAGAATTTCATTTCTGTGCAAGAAGAAAGTATGGGGAGATAGTTTTTCTCTTTGTCATCTACCTGAGGGAATAATGCTCTGTTTTTCTAGACAAATCTGCACTGAGCTAACTTTGTGGTAAAGCTACCCACTAAGTTTAAGATCTATGGCCTAGAGTGCTATTTTCTTCTAATCCTATTATTCTTGGTCTGGGGAGTATTGACAGGGTCTTCTAAGATGAAGATTCCATGTTCCTGCAGCTGTACTGATAACTTGAAAAATCTCACAGTCACTTGTCATGACTGGACTCCTTTAGATATGGTTTCCATATGACCCAGAGAGATTGCTACCCTTGCTACCCCTGTTTCTAGAGGATTTGGACACCCAGCAGGGGACATCATGACTGGTCCCTAAGCAGCCGAGTCCAAAGTTCAGGACTCATGGGGCAGCTGTCCAGGCAGGTACTGCCCTCGGTGGCGCAGACTGTGCCATGTACACACCACGGAAGCTGCCCACATAGCTGGCTATGCACAGGAGCCCCGAGGTTGTCCAATGCGGTGTCCCTGCCTCTGACACCTCCTCTCACAAGACATTTGGAGGCCAACTGTTACCTCATGTCCACTTGGTCAGGCCGTTTCGTATCTCAGGCTGAAGCTCACACCACCTCTATTTCCTTTTTTTTCCTCCTAATTTCGAAGATCTCCCACTTTCTTCCACTTTCACTTCCCGAATGCTGTGACCACAGGCATGAAATCAGCAAGTTCTTGCCTTGTCTCTTCACCAGCTAACTCCTCCGAATTCTTCATTAGTAAATAATAATGCTAATAGATAACAATAAAGGAACACTTACTATTCACATGCTAAAAATCTTACATGCCACATCCAATGTCCAATCCAAGGAAAATGTCCAATCTTCACAGAAATCTCTGAAACCATTAGATGAAGTTTAGGATTAGAGTGTTTTAGAGACATTCTTGTGATTGCAGGTAACAGTGAGAGACTCAGTCTGCCTGACTGCCAGCTGGTGCTCTGAATCAGTATCTATTCATCTTCCTAAGATCCAGGTTAGATATAGCCTCTTCCAGGAAGCCTCCTGGGCTTCCTCACCTTCCTCTCTGTGACCTTTGGCCATCCTCCAAAGTAATCTGTGATGTTCTAGTTTAGGGTGTCTTAGAGATGGTAAAGAGAGATCTAAGTTCCTTTTTTCTGGGGTTTCCCATATATTAGAGACTGAAAGTCCCGAGACAAGGCTAGGAAATATGATGACCTTTTTAATACATTTGCATTTAACCAAATTAAAACCTTTAATGTTTACTTGTATAGTTATACACATAGAAGCCTGCAATGTAATGTGATTTGCTACACACAAGGTGACTGTAGGAGTCAGTTTAATATTCATAGAATGCTGCGCTGAGTTGTTTGGTAATGGGATATGAATTTAAAGTTGTAGGAGCACATCTCTCAATCTTTTGATGTATTTCTATGACTCTAAGTTGTGCTTTCATTTTCAATAATATTTGAAGTCCTGCATGAGTATGACACCATTGGCTAATAGGCCTTTCTGGATTCTGTGTTATTTATTTCTCCATCCCTAACATATAAAACAGAGTCAGGGCTTGGCACATTGTAGTGCTTGATCCTCGTTGGCTGGCTGAATGAAGGAGTCAGTGAATTGCTGAGCACAGCCTCTGAAGTCTGGATGATTTGGAGCTGGAATGCTAGCAGCACTACCATTTACTAGCTCACTGTCCATGAGTATTTTCATTAAACTCTCTGGCTTCAGTTTGTGTCATCTATGACATGGTGACATTACAAACAGTACTGACCTCAGAAGGTAATGTGCATCACAAAGAAGGTGCTGTGCCCCAGTTATGGGATGACCAAAGTGAGCCCACGCATAAATAGTGCCTGGGGCCAGGTGGGGGAGGCAGGCAGCAGGCCTGGGAGCATCCTTGTTAATAAAAGGAAAGCCACTCCAGCTGTTTCTCCGCTGCCTTTGCCTCCCCCACCAGCCACGGAGAATGACTGGTACCCTTGGGAAGTCTCCTCAGCACCTGACTTGGCTCTCAGATCCTTATCCCTTTCCACATTCTGCTACTTGATTGACAATAATTAAGACCTCTTTGAATAATTCTCTGCAGGCCACAGAGCACTCTCAAACACACTGTCTCATTTAATAATTATTCAGAACTGTAAAGTTGCCTGTGCTTTCAGGAAATTCCTGCTCTTGTTATAACATGCATGGTATCTGCTCCTCCATGCTCACAGTTATCACCAAGAATATTTGCGCCTGTGTTAACTGTGATCATTAGCAGCATTTTCATTTTGGTGTGAAATCTGGAATTCACAGACTCTCATGGGGAAAAGCTGCCTTCCAAACTCTTTTCCTATTTCTGAAGGGCAGAGCTTGGCAGCCTCCGGGACTTGGGCTTCTTCCTCTTTTCTGTCCTTTTGGCTGTCTGGCTCCAAGGACTTGACTGGCACTTCACAGCGCTGCCTCCATGTGGCCAAGGCATCTGAGAGCACGGCCTGTTCCCTTGCTGTGATGTCTCCCTGAACCTCCTGAGCCATTTCGTGTGATGATCACCTCCTAATTTGTCTCTCTGGCCTTCACTTTTAGACTCACCTCTCCAAGTAGCTTATTGAAATCTCTCTTGGAGGTCTACGCATACCAAATTTGTTGTGTTTAAAAATAAATATTTAATCTGAAAATTCTGACTCTTCCCTCAACCCCAGACAATGGCAGTATCATCCACCCAATCCACAACCAGAGTCTCTTTCCAGCCTTAGCTGCCTTAAATGTGACCTACATCAGTATGTCCTTAGTGCCTGTGTCCAAGATATATCTCGATACAAAGGCCTCCCTGGTAGCGCAGGGGTTTAGGACGCATTACTATGAAGCTATCTGCAGCCACTGCAGGACCAGTTCGATCCCTGGCCAGGGAGGTGACCCACATGGTGCAGCAGACCTCTCCTGCCTCACCCACTGCTCCCCTTGGCAGTGTATTTCAGTACATCTGCCTGTACTGCTCCCCGGTCTGTCTCTGGTGAATCCTCTCACCCCCCACATCTCTGGTCGGTACCCAAGCTCTTGTATGCATAAATAAATAAATATTAAAAAAAAGACACATCTTGATACAAATCTCCTTTCCCTCATTACACCATCATGATCCTGCCCGTTATCCTCTTTTTTCCCTAACCAGAAATAAACAACTTTAATTTTTAATGTCTAATAATTTAAATTACAGCAGAATAAGTTGTTAGTTTTATCATTTTTAAATTTCCCTGTTTGGACAAAAAGGTTTAAAAGTCACAAAACAGGTATATTTTCCCCTTTGATTATGAAGATTGCCTTGCATCATTTTAGTTCGAATGGTCATTTTTTGAGAGAGAAGTTTTTAGTTGTGTTAAAATATATACATTATATTCATATATAAAATTTACTGTCATAGCCATTTTAAGTGTAATGTTCAGGGACATTAGGACATTCATATTATAGTGCAACCATTACCACCATTCATCTTTAGAACTTTTTTCATCTTTCAAAATGCAGATTCTGACCCATTTTCCCTTCCCCCAGCCCCTGCCAACCACCATTCATTCTGCTTTCCTTCTCAATGAATTTGACTGCTCTGTGTACCTCGTATAAGTGAAATCATTTAGTATATATAGTATATATATATATATAGTATATATAGTAGGCTACATAGCATGTATACTATGTAGTATATAGGCTTGCCTGGAGTGTCACCTATTTTAAGGTCAATTGATTAATAACCACAATTGCACAGCAAAGTTCCTTTTGTCATACAATGTAACGTGATCAATGTAATGGAAGTAACACCAGGGTTTGGAGGTCGTCATACACTTCTGCTTATATAGTTTAACCATATCAGTAGGAATGGCAATTGCCTACATGCATCAGAAAACTGATAAGTTTTTTTTTAAACAAACTTTCCTCCATTTAACAATAAATATGGGTATGAATGATTATTGATACTGGATCAGTGGCTCCATGACATCAGGGCCAATAGCTCTTATGATTCTCTTAAACGTTCCTTCTTGTGTAGTATGATTATCATATTAATATTCCATTGCATGTCAATACGGTTATCATAGCTCCGTCTATCTTGACCATACCCAAGACAGGAACAAAGAGAAAGTGGAAGGATGAGGGCTACATGAGGAAAATCTATCACTTCATTGGAAATCTATCACTTCATTTGTTTGTAAAACAAAACAAAGACAAAAAACATTTCTCAGAACTTTATTCCCCACAATAACTTCAGTAACACTTCTTTGGCCAGGACTTGCTCAAGTGAGCACTCCTAGGTACAAAGGAGACCAGGAAAACTGGGCCTCCAGTTTGGGGTAGTAATTACTGTGATTGTCTCAACCAATGATGACCCATCCTCTGGTGCTGGATGATGGGAGGATATGGATATTGGAGATACAGCTAAGATATTGTTGTGCCTGTTTTCTGGAAGGCAGAATGGTGTAGTGTTAAGTGGAATTTAAAGTCAGGAGACTTGTGATTCTGCCCCAACTCTGTCATGTTTTTTTTTTTAAAGATATATTTATTTATGCATTTAAGAACTGGGGTACAGGCCAGAGGTGTGGAAGATGAGAGGACTCACCAGAGACAGAGTAGGGAGCAGAACAGGCAGATTGACTGAAATACACTGTTGAGAGGAGCACCGTGTGGGACAGGAGAGGTCTGCTGTGCCTTGTGGGTCACTTCCCTGGCTGGGGATTAAACTCGTGCTGCAGTAGCTGCAGATTGCTTCATAGTGCTGCATCTTAACCCTTTGTGCCACCAGGGAGGCCCCAACTCTGTCATGTTTATCTGTGTGTTCTTAGACTAGTCAAGCAACTTCTCTGAACCAGTTCCCTTCTCCAGCATGTGAGAGATAATATCTGCCCTGCTTATCTCAGTTATTGTAAAAATGAAATAGTCCATGAAGTTCTTTGCATTCTGGAAATATGTACTAACTATAATTTTTGGTATTTGGTATAAAAATCAGAGTGCATGTCTTTGATTCTAAAAAATATATGTATACATATATATTTATTTTAACATAATTTATAATCTCTGAAATTAGATGAATTTTATAATCTGTGGCATTTAAACTTCAGTGAAATATAATATTTTATTAAGCTTTATTTCCTCATGGATTCTGAGGGTTATACCCAAGAAATTTGGCCACAAATGGGACCCATAAAACCCCTGTTGACTCCAAGGAATCTGGCCATCTCACGATGGAACACCCAAAGTATATACAGAAACATGGCTCTGAAGTAGTGATGACAAGAAATTACCTACCAACTCCCTACTTTCTTTTTTTTTTTTTAAGATTTATTTATTTACTTATTTATACAAGCAGTGGGTACAGTCAGAAGCACGGGAGAGTGAGAGAATTCACCAGAGCCAGAGCAGGGAGCAGAGCAGGCAGAAGGACTGAAGTACACTGCTGAGGGGAGCAGCGGGCCGCAGGAGAGGTCTGCGCACCATGTGGGACCCTCCTCGGTGGCCAGGGAGCAGCCACTGGGGAGGCCCCCGCCCTACTTTCTTACAGGCAGAATACTAGTATTGCTATTCCAGATTTGAACCTGAAGTGAGCTGAGCTGAGTGTGAAGATGGAGTAAACCAGTACCTCCTAAGAGCTCACAGTACTGGGAAGTGTTCTGCAAACTTTAAAACTTGACCACCTATCAGGGTCATTGACTAAATGTGATGCCCTGTTTAGGTATGTGCTCTTCAGGGTCTCTGCCTCAGGAACACACCCAGGATCAGAGGCAGCCTGTTTTTCAAGCCATGTGACTTAGATCCATGACTTCAAATAGAGTTGTTGGATGGCACAGCCATTGGGATTGTTAATTTTTGAAGTAAAGTCACGCAATAGAATACGTGTAATTCTAACCTTGG